CATCATTTGTTGAAAAGACTATACTTTCTTGGTTGAATTGCATCTGTTCCTTTGTGAACATTCATTTTTGAATGTTGATCCAGGCTTTACCCTAGGAATAATCTTCACTGGCTGTATTGCTCTTTTTTTAATTTTTTTAACATATGTTGATGGGTTTGATTTGCTAATATTTTGTTGACAATTTTTGTATCTGTATTTATGAGGGATATTGGTCTGTAACTTCCGGTTTTGTACTATCATTGTCTCACTTTGGCATCAGGGGAATACTGGCCTCCTAAAGCAAGTTGAGAAGTATTTCCTTATCTTCTGTTTTCTGCAAGAGATCATGGAGAAGGATGCTAAGTAGCCACTGTAGCCAACACTGTCTGAAAAATTACACGTCAAAGCCATGTTTTGATACTTTCCTTTGTGGTACTTCTTTGGAAAGCCTGGGAACCATTTTTTTTTTCTCTCCACTTCCTGCTGATCCCACTGGCCCATTTAAAGGAGAATGGAATGTCCCTGGTAGAGGAAGAAAGGATTCTTTCCTTCCTGTTGTCTTGTTATTCCTGCCAATATCACCACAGCAACAGAGAGGGCAGGAATGGCATTCTATGTAGAGGGAACAGTTGATTCAAATGCCTGCAGATGTGATGAATCCACACACAGTGACAGAAGTTTGATGAGCTTGGGGAATAGGATCTATTTAGTGTCATGGAATGGATGCCATGAAATGAAACTGGGAGAGGAGGGCAGAACCCAGGCTGGAAAGGATCTTGGAGACTAACTCAGCAAGTTAAGCTTTAAGCTTTCGCTCTTCAAACTGATGATTCATAAAAGCAACTTGAGGGGTTGCCACCAGCATTAAAAAAATAAAACAGAAGACAATACAAAATATCAGCATGCCTTTTGTGAGTAAGAAAAGCACTGCTTCAGTTGTTTATACAGGTTTACATGCATCCTGGGAACAGCCACATGTGGAACATCAGTCATCTGAGTCAGGGGTGATGTGACATCTGCATTTTCATCCCTCTGCCTCCTTTCTCCAAAACCTTTCTTCCAAGCACCATTCCCCTCTCTCAGAATTCCTCTGGGGGCAGGAGGTCCATCCGAATCATCATTGGAACCTCCAGAGAAGCACACTGGAGCCCAGCTGTCTGCCTTTGTCCTGTCCTGTGTTACTTACGCAGATTCTTTTTTTAAAAAATAGTTATTTATTTGGTTCTGTCAATCCTTAGTTGCGGTACTCGGGATCTTTGCTGTGTCATGTGGGATCTTCCGTGGTATCACACAAATTCTCTAGTTGAGGTGTGCGGGCTTAGTCGCTCCTCAGCATGTGAGATCTCAGTTCCCAGGCCAGGGATCAAACCCACATCCCCTGCACTGGTCCTACCGGACTGCTAGGGAAGTCCCTGGGCAGATTCTCTAACCTTCCTCTGAGTCCCCCTGCTCATCTGTAACATGAGTTCATTATAGTCTCACCTTGCAGACACTTGTAAGGTGTCTGGTTTGAATGAGTGCACGCGTAAGTGATGTTATGGATTAAACTGTGTCAAGAAGCTATGCTGAAGTCTGAACTCCCAGCACCTAAGAGTGTGATCTTATTTGGAAAAAGAATCACTGAAGATAGAATCAGTAAAGATAGAGTCATCCTGGAGTATGACTGGTATCCTTACAAAAAGATGGCCATGTGCAGAGAGACAAACACAAGGAAGATACCATGTCATGACAAAGGCAGAGTTCCCAATTGTACGGCTGCAAGCCAAGCAACTCCAAAGACTGTTGCAAGCCACTGAAAGCTAAGAAGAGGCAAGGAAGGATTCCCCAGTGGTTTCAGAGGGGGCGTGATCTGGCTGGCCTTGATTTTGGGTTCAGGTTGCATAACTGTGAGACGATATATTTCTGTTGATGTAAGCCCAACTTGTGATACTCATACAAGGGGCTCAACATGGTGCTTGGCATATAGCAGGCACTCAACACACGCTACTTGTGGTTGTCATTATGGCAACAACAGGTGTCTAAGGATTCTTGGCTAGGCAGAAGACAATAGTGAAAAACAAGCCACACAGAAACATCACTACTCTCATCCTCTCATCCCTGCAGCCACTGAGTTTTTAAGTTCAGCACTACGCCATATTTCAATCTTCAAATAATTCTTGTGAGGAAGGAGTCAGATGAGAAAGAGAGGCCAGAGAGAGGCTCAGGAAGACCCAAGGACTTATTAATAGCAACAAAGCTTGGACCAGAATCCAGGGCTCCTGTTCACACCTCCACCCCAGCACTGTCTCTTTGCTGGGTTGGGTCACTGGCCCTTCCAGAGCAACAAAGCTGGGAGCGTCTATCTGGACAGGTGAGAAGGACACACTGGTGGTTAGAATGTGACTTCTCCTGGCACCTTTGGTGATGCCTTGATGGAGTCCCGATTTTCCCTTTTCAAGTGTAAGTTTGAAGATTCCGGAGATTAATACGTGTTCTCTCTTCCCTCTCGTCTCCCTTTTTGCTGGACAAAGACCTACTAGCCACTCTACCTTTCCCTGGAGATGTGCCTCATTGTCAGAACCCAGCTAGCTCCAGCCCTTCCTTTGCTCTCTTAACTCTTTCTCAGAAGGAAATTTCAACTTGGAGAAATGACATTTGCCACCAGAGGGGCTAAGAATGCAGTTCCCAAGGATGTGGGCAGGGGAAACTCTGATGCTAAAATTCTGAGCTTCAAGAATTCCAAGCATCAGTAATTCAAACGTTCTGTGTCTAAGGTTGTGGGAACCTGAGATTCCACAATTATGATTGTGGACCCTGCAGTTCCAAGAGTCAACAGTTTAGTTACGCCACGATTCTGAGATTTCCCCCAGGTGTGGTTTCTGGAAGCCTCTTAAAGTGACATGCATATGGATGGGTAAGGTTTGATTCTGTCTCTGGATTGTTAGGGACTTCCCTGGTGGCTCAGATGGTAAACAATCTGCCTGCAATGCAGGAGACCTGGGTTCTACCCCTGGGTCAGGAAGAGCCTCTGGATAAGGAAATGGAAACCCACTCCAGTATTCTTGCCTGGATTATCCCATGGACAGAGGAGCCTGGCAGGCTACAGTCTATAGGGTCACATAGAGTTGGACATGACTAACGCTTTCACTTTTCACTTCACTGAATTGTTAAATAGTGTGCTTGTAATAATAAAGAACGTGACACTGGGGATTCTTAGCTCTTCCCAATGAGTATGAAGCAGCCAATTCATGGAACCCAAGTGGTCAAACACAGACAATGGAAATTGAAAATCCTGAGAATCAGCCTGTTAGGAAACTTGCAGCGTTCAAAGGACCAGATTTCCTCTCACTTGATCTCAAATCACTGGTCCTTCAAGTGTGGCAAGTTTTGTGGAGGCAACACCTGTGTAGCATTTAGATCTAAGGTTAGAACTAACCAGAGGTCTAACACAAAGATCTAAAGCTGATGTGTGTACTGGGAATTCCTAATAATATACTTTCACAACCTTGAGAAATTCCACAGAAATAAAACCTGGAAAAATAGCATATATTAAGAAACTGTGTTAATGATTATCTTGCATGTTTTTCTTAAGAATAATCATCTTGTTACAAACCCCAAGGCCAGACCCAGCAGGGAGTATGACTGGGATCATGAAAGCACGGACCTTGGAGCCCTGGGTCAGCGTCAGACATGAACACTGCCTGTGCACTTGCTGATTGTTCCCGAGACTAGCCCAGGAGGGAACGACCTGGGGCAAACACAAGGAGATCTGGACTATGTCAGTGTAGTCCATGGCACTTAGGAGTTCGTGATTAACACAGCATGTGTCTTGAGAAAGATAAGCTCTGAGAAAGTCTTGTAGTCTGCAATTAGGAATAAAAGCTGGACTCAGAGTGGACTCTGCACCTCAGTCCCATAGAGGATGCAGGTCCTCTGATCCATTGCACCAGACTTCGTTTTCTGTCTTCATTCTCGTTGCTCGCTCCTGGACCACTAGGGCAACAGATGTGTATGAGTTTTCAGGCTGTGCAGTGCTGAAGGATGCCACTTCCAAGGGGACATACACAAACTTATCTGAGAGTAAGCAAGTGATTCAGGGACACACCACAGATCTCAGATCCATCAGAGAGAGCCCCACCTTCAGAAACTCATAGGAAATATGACCTCCTGCATATATTCTGGAGAACAGGCGATTATATACTTGCCCGTGTGCATGCACACACATGCACACACACAAACATGGCTGCGCTGCTACCAAACTTCTGGCATTTCTCTGAAAGCGCTTCTCTCTCCCATCCATTTTATTATGAAGTCTGACTTCTAGGGCTTCCCTGGTAGTCCAGTGGCTAAGAATCTATCTTGCAATGCAGGAGACACAGGTTCCATGCCTGGTCCGGGAAGATCCCACTTGCTACGGGGCAGCTAAGCTGGGGCATCACAACTACTGAAACCCGTGCCCCTGGAGCCCGTGGTCTGCAACAAGAGAAGCCATCGAAATGAGAAGTCCAAGCTCTGCAACGAAGAGTAGCCCCTGCTTGCTGCAACTAGAGAAAAGCCTGTGTGCAGCAATGAAGACCTAGCACATCCAGAAAAACAACACCAACAACAGTCTGACTCCTGTCAGACACAGTAGCCTTATCTAGTGGTAGGCACAAAATACGCTCTGTCATCCAAAGTGTGACCGAGTGGGGAAGAGCGTAGGCAAGTGTGTAGTGAAGCCAGGTGAGCTGCCTGTCAGGACTCTGGAAAAGTCCCCTGGACAGAGCTGTTCAGGTTGTGTAATAATATAATAAGTTGCTGTGTTTTCACTTGAGGAAGGGATGCTACCCAAGGACTGTGGGTTAAGTATGGCCACGTGTATTCACGTACTTGCTGAGTACTGACTGACTTGTGTTCTGTGGGACCTCAGAAAGACTTAACCTTTCTGGGCCTCATCTTTGTTATCTGTAAAATGGGCATATATACTGTTCCCTATCACAGTAGGTTTGTGAGCATGAAGTGAGGTGAGTTTAAGACACTTTAAGCATAGAACTGACACAGAATACTTGCTCAATAAATAATATCTGCTATTGTTATTATTCAAAGTATAACATAAGTTGTCTTTTCCTCTCATCTAATCTCTAGCAAGCTTAACAAAGAGTCCGTTCTGTTTCTTCTTTCTCTTCTATCCACCTTGCCCTTTCCTCCCCACCGTCCACTATTCCCCATCCTTAGCCCCGCCCCTTCCCTAACCCCGCTCCTAGCCCCTCCCCTCCGCTCCCATGCCCCTCCTTTCCCCATCCTTAGCCCCTCCCCTTCCCCATAACCCCGCCCAGGCCCTTCCCTCCCCCATTTGCTCCTCCCACCAGCGCTAGCCGGGGCACAGCCCTGACTCAGCGGGGCAGGAAGCTCATGGTGTAGTTTGGAGGGATGGTGGCAAAGCCCACTAGTTTTGGGGACACGTCGATGTCCTGGGGCAACTGTGGGGACTTGAAGCGGAAGTTCTGCATGATGGTGGTAAGGAAGAGGAAGAGCTCCATTCTGGCGAGGCCTTCTCCGAAACAGTACCGCTTTCCTGAAGGACCAGAGTGGGAGGCACAGAGGTGAGGCCTGTTCTCACTGTTGCCAGACCCCCACTACCGACCCCCAGCTGCATCCTCTCAGGGAAGAAGGGCTGGAATATCGAGGCTGGAGAGACTTGCAGAGAAGTTGCTACTCCTCTCTGAGCCTTTTTCCCTAGAACTTTTGGTGGGATGAGCCCAGACTGTAGCAATTGGAACTTTGGATGCCCCCTGCCCCTAAATACACTCTCAAATATGACTACTGCTGTCATCGCCTTTCTAAGAATCTGAAGGAAATCTCTCACTCTGGGCCTTGATTTTCCCTATCTCTGAAATGGGTATGATCATTCCTTTTCTTTTGCTTTGGCCCAGGCTCTTGGTAGTTATGGGGATTGCTGATTGGCCCCAGGGTATATGGTAAGAAGGACTTCCACGCTGGAGAAAGAAGCTAGGTTAAGCCTTAGCGATGAAGGAGGCCCCTGTGGGTGTTGACTTGGCGGTGTCTCTTACCGATGGAGAAAGGCACAAAAGCATCATTCTTCTTAAATTGCCCCTTTTCGTCCAGGAAGTGCTGGGGGTTGAAATCTCGGGGGTTGGAGAAGAACTTGGGGTCTCTCAGCACAGAGCCCAGCATAGGGAACACTTCGGTGCCCTGGTTGAGAGGAGGGAGGGGACTTTGATAAGGTGGAGTAGGGGATGGGTATGATGAAAGCACACTGTGGGCAGAGGGGGAATTTGGGTGCCCTACGTGAGGACAAGTGGAAGGCATGGGAGTTGGGGTCCTCTGAAGGAGGTGCTTTGGGGGACATGAGATTCATGTCCTCGGGACAGGAAGTTTGGCTGACATGAGGCTTATGTCCCCTGAAAAGGGAAGTTTGAAATGCACGGGTTCTATGTCTCCTGGAGCGGATGGTTTTGGGGACACGTAGTTCATGCCTCCCATGGGAGGAGGTTGAGGGGGTGGGAGGGTCATGTTCCCTGAGACAGGAATTTTGGGAGACATGGGGTTTGTGTCCCTCTAGGAAGGATGCTTGGGGGACATGAGATCATGTCCTTGAAGGTCTAGGGGAAATGAGGTTCATTTCTCTTAAGACAGAAATTTGGGGGGCACATAGGGTTCATATTCCTTGAGGCAAGAGGTCTGGGGAGGTGTGAAATTCAGGAGTCTCCAAGGGGGAAGGTGGCAGGGACACGGTAGTGGGGAAAGTCTTTGATTAGGGGAGTGGGTCCCATGGGTCACGGGCTGGGAAGGTTCTAAGGGCAACGGGGTTTAGGGTCACAGGGATCGGGCTGGGTGGGGCAGCACCTTGGGGAGGAGGAAGTCTCGAAACTTGGTATCCTTGATGACTCTGCGGGCCAGGCCCATGGGGATCATGTCTCCGAATCTCTGGATCTCGTGGATCACAGCCTCTGTGTAGGGCATCTTGGCTCGGTCCTCAAACTTGGGCTGACGGTTCTTGCCGATTACGCGGTCAATCTCCTCATGGACTTTGGCTAGGGGACGGGGGAGAATGTATTTAGCTCTTGAGGGGACTCGGGGCAGGAATGAAAATCCAAATATGTACAACATGCATGACATCCATGTGTGATGTGGATGCAGACCACTCAGATCAGACGTCGGCTGTAGACACTGTCAGGGCAGGGTCTTGTTCACTTTGTTGTTGTTTAGTTGCTTCTGTCGTGTCTGACTGTGACCCCATGGATTGTAGCCTGCCGGGCTTCTCTGTCCATGGGATTTCCCAGGCAGAAATACTGGAGTAGGTTGCCATTTCCTTCTCCAGGGGATCTTCCTGACCCAGGGATTGAACCTGCATCTCCTGCACTGGCAGGCAGGTTCTTTACGACTGAGCCTCCAGGGAAGCCCACCTGTTCACCTGGTCCTATGGAAATCACAGGGGAGGTGCAAAGGAGGAGTCCTGGGGAATGTCTGGAGGAGGGGGCGGTGGGCACTTGGTTGGGTCAGCCGCAGGAACTATATACCAATCTGTTCAGATATTTTCAATGTTTTAACAGCTGGTGAGACTTGGCTGGTGCTTATCAGCCAAACATCACCTAGTCTCTAGAGAGCAGAGCGTGTTTGAGGGTCCATGGCCCTGAGAGAGGTGGGACCACTGCAGCAGGCTCAGAGGAATTTGGGGGAGGGGTCCATGGTGCCCGCTTCCCTGCCCTGTCCAGCCTTACCCTCCACATCTGGGTGCTTCATGAGCAGCAGGAAGCCATACCGCATGGTTGTGCTGACCGTCTCTGTGCCCGCAAAGAAGAGGTTCAGTGTTGTCATCACCAGGTTCTTCCTGTAGAACTCCGTGTTGGGATTCTCCTTCTCCTGCATGGACAGAGGGCTCCAGGTAAGCTCACTTCCCTATGCCCATCTGGGGGTTTTCCCTTTGGACCTGCCTCTTTATTTTATAGGGGCTTCCCCGGTGGCTCAGACAGAATCCGCCTGCAATGCAGGAGACTCAGGTTCAATCCCTGGATCAGGAATATCCTCTGGAGAAAGGAGTAGTTACCCACTCCAGTATTCCTGCCTGGAGAATCCCATGCATGGACTGAGGAGCTTGGAGGGCTACAGTCCATGGGGTCGCAAACCGTCAGACACGACCAAGTGAGTAACAACACTCTATTTTATTACTTTTTCAAATTAAACCCCCCCTTTTTTTTTGGCTGTGTCACATGACTTGCAGGATCTTTCCTGACCAGGGATTAAACCCTGGGCCCTTGGCAGTGAGAGCGCAGAGTCCTAACCACTGGGGCCTGCACGCTAAGTCGCTTCAGTGGTGTCCACCTCTTTGTGACTCCATGGGCTGTAGCCCACCAGGCTCCTCTGTCCATGGGATTCTCCAGGCAGAAATACTGGGTTGCTGTACCCTCCTTCAGGAGATCTTCCTGACTCAGGGATCAAACCCATGTTTCTTATGTCCCCTGCATTGGCAGGTGGATTCTTTACCACTCGTGGGTAACCTGGGAAACCTGGGATTCTCCAGGCAGAAATACTGGGTTGCTGTACCCTCCTTCAGGAGATCTTCCTGACTCAGGGATCAAACCCATGTCTCTTATGTCCCCTGCATTGGCAGGTGGATTCTTTACCACTCGTGGGTAACCTGGGAAACCTGGTGCACGGTAGTTTTACAGAAACGTTTGCTACCATGATTCACATTCATTAAGTCCTGCCTGTGGGCAAAACGGCTCAATAGGTGGAATGTGTGCTGTGCTAAGTCATTTCAGTCGTGTCTGACTCCATGAGACCCCATGGACTGTAGCCCGCCAGGCTCTCTGTCCATGGGATTCTCCAGGCAAGAATACTGGAGTGGGTTGCCCCGTCCTCCTCTAGGGGATCTTCCTGACCAGGGATCAAACTCACATCTCTTATGTCTCTTGCATTGGCAGGTGGGTTCTTTGCCACTAGTGCCACCTGGGAACTCCAGTAGTGGAAGAGTGATGGTTAATTATCCCTGGGATTGTGAAGATTATTAGGTTCAGTTCAGTTCAGTGGCTCAGTCGTGTCCAACTCTGCGACCACATGGATGGCCACACGCCAGGCTTCCCTGTCCATCACCAACTCCTGAAGCTTACTCAAACTGTCCATAGAGCTGGTGAGTTATTATTAGGTTGGGGGGGGTGATTTCAATGGGCCTCTGTCCTCCTCCACCCCCAGCCTGATTTCCCTCTGCCTGGCTCTGGACCTCTTCATCCTGCTGTGGGGGTGTACCTCCTGCATGCGGATGAGGAAGGAGTCGATGAAGTCCCGTGGGGAGTTGGGGTCCAGTGTGCGCTGGTTTTGTTCCACCTTCTTGGCTATGAAGTCCTCCAGTCCCTGCAGCTCCTTAAAGGCCTGTTGCTGTGGCCCTGGCAGATATTTCATTACTGAGTAGAACATTTCGTAGAGCTGAGGATGGGAAGGGGAGAAGGGGAGGGAAGGACAGCTGTCAGTGTGCAGGACCTGGTGGGAGTGGGCCCTGACTCAGGACAAGGCAGGTACTGGGTTATAGGCGCCTGCCTTGATGTTTACACATTTTGATGAGGCTGGATGGGAATGTGTTTTCACAATGAGTTACGTGTGAGGGCCCCTGTCCAAGGATTAAAGTGAGATGGACTGGGACACCATTCAGATATTCAGATGATGTTGGATTGGAGAAACACACCCGGGGTTCATATATTCAGATGAGGTTGGGTTGGGAGACCCCTGTCCAGGTGTTTAGCTATTCAGGCAGGACTTGTATGGGGGGGTGGTCACCTGCCTAAGTGTTTAGGCATTGGTGTGGTCTCAGTTGGACACAACTGTCCCAATGTTTAGAGGGAGGGGTCTGGGTTGGGGTTTCTGTGCAGGTGTTGAGGTACTAAAGTGGGGTTGGGGTGCAGGTGTTAAGGTGGGGAGATACCTGTTCAGGTATTCAGATATTCAAATGGGCCAATGGAAGGCACTTCTGTAGGTGCTGGAAATGAGCTGGATCAGGGGACACTTATTTGGATGTGTGGGGAACAATCTACCTAGGTGTTTATGCATTTAGGGGTCTTGGTTGGGGTACCTGCTACATGTTCAGCTATTTAAGTGAACTGGGGAGGGGGCGCTCTCTGGAGATTCCAGTGGGCGGGTTTTGGGACATCTGTGTGGAGAACCAATGATTTTGGTGGGCTGAATTTTGAAGCACCAGGTGTCCAGGTAGTCAGGAAGTGGGCTGAGGTGACCACTTGCCAGGTGTTAAGAAATTCAGATGGAAAGAAAATATCTTTTTTTTTCTTTTTTTTTTGCCATGCCAAGCAGCATGTGGGATCTTAGTTCCCCGACTGGGGATTGAACCCATGCCTCCTGCATTGGAAGCACAGAGTCCGAACCACTGGACCACCAAGACGTCCCCTCCCCTTTTTTGAGATGGAGTGTCTAAAAAGGGACCACTTGTTAAAGACTAAGATAAGCTGGGATGAGGACACCTGTCCTGGTAAGAAAGCTGGGTTGAGGACATGTATCTTTTCTGCAGGGTATTTTTTTTTTTTTCTTCTTTCTTCTTCTTTTGTTTTTTTGGTGGAGGGTGCATCTTTTGAGATATCCAGGTGTCCTTGGAGACTGGGTATTGGGCTTTGGTGCAACTGTTGAGTTGTCCAAGAGTGGTGGTCTGGTTTTGAGGGGACCCTGTCTGGGGGAGGATGGGAGTTTGGGGCACTTGTCTCGTGTGTGTGTGTGTGTGTGTGTGTGTGTGTGTGTGTTGGGGGAGGGCATTTGGCAGGTTGCGGTAGGGGCAGGGTAGAGCCAGGTCGACTTGGGTTACCTGCCCGGTAGACGTAGCAGTGAACTGGAAGCTTCCCAGCATCATTCGCAGTAGTGACAGGAACTCTTTGTCCTCGTAGTCAAAGCGGTCCCCGAAGACAATGGAGCTGATTACATTGGAGACTGTTCGGCTCAGGAAGAAGGTGGGATCGACGAAGGCGCCTGGGGGGATGAGAGCGGAGGGAGTTGGGGAGAGACAGGGATTTAGCGGAGAGTCAGCTCAGCTGTCTGATGCTGTCTGAGAAGTGAAGGAGGGCACGGCAGTGCTGAGCTAAACTTCCAGCACCGGACCCTAGGGTCTAGACCAGCCCCGGGCTCCCTGGCTCACGGGCCCCCTTCCTGGGTGTTTCCCTCCTCCTCCTCGCACACTGCGGGGTCCCCCCGGCTCACCGCGAGTGCCCCGGAAGGCCTCGATGAGGAAGCCCGCCTCCTCCTGGATGCGTTCTTCGATGCCGCGTTGGGTTCCATCCCTGGGTTGGGAAGATCCCTGGAGGAGGAAATGGCAACCCAGTCCAGTATTCTTGCCTGGAGAATCCCATGGACAGAGGAGCCTGGCTGGGTACCGTCCATGGGGTCACAAAGAGTTGGACTAACACAGACACACGCAAAGAGAAGAGAGAAAAATAGGGAGAAAGAGACAGGGAGGCCCTGGGGGGAAAGAGAGACTGTTACTAAGAGAGGGAGCCATGGAGATTTTGAAGCAGAGATAATGTGAGATTCTAAGATGAAGGAAGAAGAAAGAGAGAGGGCAGGAAAGAGAAACTGGGGGACGCCCAGAAGCTGAAAAGAAGAAAAAGACCAAAAGGCATATGGAGATAGAAGACCGGGGTTCCAAAGCAGAAATCCCAAGAGGCTCTAAGAGACACAGAGAAAGAAGAGACATCAAGTGAAAGGGGACAGGGGCAAAGAGAAGCAGGGAGAAACAGAGAGGCAGAAACTCTAAGACCAGATAGAGCAGGGGGAGGCAGAAGTGCGCAGGACTGGAGAAGGAATAGCAGAGGCAGTCAGGAGAAAAAAGCTGGGGACCCTGAAGTCTGTCTGACCATGCCCCCTTCCCCTCAGTCTCCCTCACCATAGCCTTTGAAGAGCCAGTCAAAGGTAGCCTGCTCGCCTCGCCCACTGAATTCTTCAGCCTGGTCCACCAGAGCCTCCTTCACAGCATCATAGCCACACAGCACCACGATCTGCCGGGTCCCCAGGTGGATGGTGAACACAGGGCCGTAGCGCTCACTGATCTGATAGAGGTGAATGGGAGTTAGTTAGTGGGAGTAGCCCCTTTTCTGAACAGGCCCTGTACCCAGACCTCACATACTGGGATGCATTTCCTCACAGGTTCTGACTATCAAGGAGCTGGACAGCCCAAGATATGGTCTTCCCTGGTTAGGACCCCGATTGTTGTTGTTGTTAAGTCGCTCAGTCATGTCTGACTCTTTGCGACCCTATGGACTGTAGCCTGCCAGGCTCCTATGTCTATGGGATTTCCCATGCAAGAATACTGGAGTGGGTTGCTATTCCCTTCTCTGGGGCATCTTCCCAGTGCAGGGATCAAACCCGAGTCTCCTGTATCAGCAGATGGGTTCTTTACCTTTGGGTCACCAGGGAAGCCCCAGGACCCTGGTATTGGATGTTTAAAATTCCCTTCTTCTTTCCTAAGACTCTTGCCCAACATTGCCCATCCCCTGCCATAAAGCCCCAGATGAACTGGCCAGGCCGCCCCCCCCAACCCCGTCCCCCCATCTCTGCCCTATGACACCTTCATGAGGGAGTTGTACATCTGCTCAGTGTTCAGCTGCAGGTAGTTCCCGATGAAGGGCAGAGGAGTGGGCCCTGGAGGCAATTTCCCTTTGAGCTTCCTTTGCCGCCAGACAGACATCAAGACCATGACAGTCAGACAGGCCAGCAAAGCCACGAGGAGCAGCCCTGAGGCCAGCATGGTGGCAACTGGAGTGATGGCCTGTTGGTGATGTCTGAGATGGTTGCCTTTATACTACTTGGAAAAGCAGGACAGACTTTGGTCCTGATTATATAATTGTCTTGTTTCACCTCTCATGTCCACTCCCCACTATGCTCCCTGCCTAGCTTGGGACCCAGCCAACCAGGAAGGAGAGGGGTGGACCTCAGGTCAGGTTCACAAGGAGAGGGCCCCAAGGTGGAATTTGTGGTCTGTGGGGAGAGACTGCCGTAGGGCTGTGGACTTTGGAGTAGACAGTAGATATGTTCCAGAACTGAAGATTTTGGGGAGCCCATGAGCTTTGGACTTGGGATCTCAGAGTGAGAAGGGACCCCCAAATTTGTGGATTTGGAGGTCTTGGGAAAGTGGAAATCACAGATCTGGATGTAAGGGTATTAGAATGGACAGGATATGTGGCTGTGGATTTGGGGGCCTTTTGGTGAGGAGGGATGTAGGTTGAAGGGTCTCGTGATGGCGGGGGGAATTCCAGGGAATGGATTCAAGGGTCTTGAGGTGAGAAAGGACCCCTGCTGTGGGTGTGGGGTTCCTGGGAGCAGAGTCCAGCTGGATCCAGACTCAGTATCTGATTCCAGATGTTGACTTGCTTTTATTTTGGACATGTTGCTCGCTCTCGATGCCCAGAAGCTTTACTGGAACCTCAAAGTGAGGTCACAGTAGGGGTCATAGAACTGACCATCTATGGTTGGGCAAGAGGTAGAAGACCAGAGCTGTGCATCTGTGGAACTTTCCACAGAACTGGAGAGTAGTAACTCACAATCTCAACCCATAGAGGAACTGGCCAGGGCTTGAGAAGTAGTAATAACCATCAGTCTGATACCAAAAAAAATCCCCAATGTTTCAAGGGTTAGAATTCACACAGCATCCCACTGGTTCCCTACCCAGATCCTTATGGAAGTCCACTGTGTTGACTGTATCATTTCTATTATTGTTAATGTTTCACATTTCACATGTGAGTATAATGAGGACAGAAGAGAGAGAGTGGGCAAGAGGCACGCATGTGACCCCTCTCTCTCCTGCTTGGCACTTATTTCCTCTTTCTGGAATTGGGTTTCCCCACTTCCCAGAAGGTGCAAGTGGTAAAGAACCCACCTGCCAATGCAGGAGATGTAAGAGATGCAGATTCGACCCCCTGGAGGGCATAGCAACCCACTCCAGTATTCTTGCCTGGAGAATCCCATGGACAGAGGAGCCTGGTGGGCTGCAGTCTGCAGGGTCCCACAGAGTTGGACACGACTGAAGGGACTTAGCACGCATGCACCAGCGCAAAGAGAGTATTTGGAAGAGAAAGTTGTATTGGAGAGTGTGTGAAGTCCCTTTTAGAGGTGATTCCTGGTGTGTCAGGACTTTTGTTAGCAGGCAGAGGGGACTATGTCAGGAGAGATTTGGGTAAACTCCAGTGTCAGGAACAGAGAGAAGTCCTGGGATTCTGAAGTGGGTGAAGAGAAAAGAAGAGTGGTCCCATGTCCTCCCTTCACTGACATTTTTCCTTCATAATGACACTTAACCCCATCACAGTACCAACTGTGAAGATTACGTCCACATCCTCATCATCTTACTGAATCCCTATAACAGCAGGGCTGGTTTATCATTGTCTTCACTTGGCAGTTGAGAAGCCTGGGACCCTATAAAGCCACTTGCTGGAGGTCACACAGGTAGTAGGTGAGGGAGCTGGAACTGGAACTCTCTCCTGGTTCTCCTTCCATGGACTGGCCTAGCCCACCCTGGGGGCCATGTGAGAGTCAAGGTTAGAGGCAGGTGAGTGCTGACATTGGCATCAGCCTTGGACACAGGGATTACATTAGCAGGTTCTGCTTTTGGCATCAGGTAGCCCTGGGGAGGCAGGGTATCCTGTTGGCACTGAGCCTGCCCCCAGGTAGACTCTAGGGTTAAACACGTTGATACTGAACCTGATGCCAGGAAAACAGTAATAGAGCCACTTGTATCAAGAGGGCTCTGAGGGCTGCCTTCAGGACAGCATAAAGCTGGCAGCATAGAGATCCAGAGGCTGGTCCAAGTGGGTTCTGATATGAACATCCCATGGGTGCTGAGATGGATCCTCTGTGGGCCTGAGAGGGGGCCCCGGATGGACCCCAGACAGGCTCTGACAGTCGGACAACCCTGCTCAGGTGCCACCTCTAACCTTGGACAAGAACAGGTGGGTGAGGCTGGTCCTCCCGGGCCAGCGTCTTGCTAGATCATTCTAGGCTGCTGAGCTCTGAGTCCTTTGGGACAGGGTCAAGGGGCAGAGAACAAAGCAGAGAGATGAAAGTTGTTTGTTGGTTTTGGAGGGGGAAGAGGAGGGCAAGAGGATTAACTCCGGGTTGGCAGGTATCAGTCTCGCAAATCCTGATCGCCAGCTGCACCTGGGCTGGCCCCATGCCTGCGTCCGCCTCTTCCCCCTTATCCCATGACAAGGAGGGAGGTAGAAATTTGGGGAGTTTGTTTTTCAATGAAATTGGCACCAGCGAGGGCACTGAGTGTTCAAACAGGCTGCTGCGAGCTGGGCGGCGAGGAGAAGCCCTTGGGGGACGGCAAGGTCAAGTGAATTTGATTTTGATGTTGGCCCCTGGAACATGGAGCGAGAGGCTACTGTCCATCATCATGTGTTGTGTCTCCCGGAGGCAGGCAGGACGTGTGCTAGCCTGTGGTGGCCTGGATATGGGCTTCTAGAGTAGTAGCCCATAATCAATTAATAGACTTCAATTTTGTATATCTGAGATGCAGACAGTTGGGATCGTCAGTCCAGATGGAAAGTGAGGTTAATTAGTTCCATTTTACTACAATGGAAAAAAAGTCTGTAAGGTGAGGCCAGGCCATTTCCATCCTCTTTTGGTTAAAATATTGAGTGGTTGGTAAAGTTTTGTATATTATAAAAGTATAAAAAGCACTGAGAAAAGTAAAAACAACAACAACAGACAGTTTAAAGAGTAGCTCGTGGTGAACCCGGGAAAATCTTCTCCTTGCTGGGTCTCAGCGTCCCTTTCAGGACAATGGAATGGTAGTTAAGAGCAAGATGAAGACGTAGATTGGAATCCCCTCTGTGGTTGTGTCGCCTCGAACAGATAACCTCACCTCTCTGGACCTCATGGGGCCAATGATGGTAGCCACCTCTTAGTCTCTTATGGTGAGGAATCAGTAGGTTAATGCATTTGAGCTGCATGGTGGTAAGCACTCAGTCAGTGTTATCCGTTCTTACCATCAATCCATGGAATGAAGGCCACAGATAAGAGTTTCTCTAAGCATTCCTCTGTATTTTACATTCTCTGTCACAAAGTCTCGAAAGTTTTTCCTTTGGAAAAGGAGAAAGAGAAAGTTTTGGGGGAACCTTCCTCCCCATTTCTTCCTCTGGACAGCAGAACCGTATTCCCTGGACGTCCCTGGTGGCTCAGTAGTAAAGAATCCCACTGCCGATGCAGGAGACACTGGTTCGATCCCTGGGGTCTAAGAAGACCCCACCTGCTACAGGGCAGCTAAGGCAGTGCATCACAACTATTGAGCCTGCGCTCTGGAGCCTGAGAGCAACAGCTACTGAAGCCCCCACGATCTGCAGCAGGAGAAGCCACCATAATCAGAAGCCCGTGCACAGCCATGAAGCGTGGCCCCTGCTCACCGCGACTAGAGAAAGCCCGCGCAGCAATGACGACCCAGCACTACCAAGAAAACAAGATAAAATAAAGACATCTCTTCTTAAAAGCAAACGAAAACTGTACCTCCTGGAGCAGTGCTAGGAAGTGGATCTCTTAGGCACCTCCTGGAGGGATGGTGGTTAGGCAGTGTCTGAGGAAGACCCTCTGGGCAGGCATGGAGCTCTGCCCAGGACTTTGCCCAGTGTTCTGCTTTGTCTTTCTCCCCCCGTTTCTGACTTTCTGTGTGTCTTGCTCTTTCTCTTTCCCTGCAGGTCAGTCTGCCCTTTGACCCTCTTGTGTGCTTTTGGATTTGTTTACATTTGTGTCATTTTGTCCAGTGGATTTTCCTAGATGCCTCAGTCATTTTTCTCCTTATTTATTTATTTAGAGACATATCTTTCAGTTGAATTGATAGGCATTTATTTTGTACCTCTGAGATGCAGGTAGTGGGGATCCTCAGTCTAGATGGAAGGTGAGGTTAATTAGTTACATTGTACTACAATGGAAAGAATTCTGTAAGTTAAGGCCAGGCCATTTCCACCCTCTTTTGGTAAAAGTATTGAGTGGTTGGTAAAGTTTTGTATAATATAAAAAAATAAAAAGCACTGAAAAAAGTAAAAAAAAAAAAGACTCTTTTAAAGAATTTTATATCATAGAAAAATTGAGCATTCCCATGTTCCACATTCCCCCAATACACAGTTTCTCCAATTATTGAATATTTTACATTAGTATGATTAGCATGGTTGTTGCTGTTTAGTTGCTAAGTCACGTCCAACTCTTTTTGTGACCCCATGGAATGTAGCCCACCAGGCTCCTCTGTCCGTGGGATTTCCCAGGCCAGAGTACTGGAGTGGGTTGCCATTTCCTTCTCAAGGGGATCTTCCCAACCCAGGGATCTAACCCACGTCTCCTGTATTGCAGGCGGATTCTTTACCACTGAGCCTGGAAAGTCTGGTTAGTATGTTTCGTATTAGAAGTATAAACCAAGGCCGATACATTATTCTTATTAAAGTCCATGCTTTACTCGGATTTCCTCCCCTTACCTAATGCCCCTTCTCCTCTAGGGTACCACATTACATTTAATGGTCACATCTGTTCAGCTCTCTTTGGCTGTAAGTTTCTCAGACATTTCTGGTTTCTTTGTTTTTGATGCCCTTGGTAATTTAAATGAGGACTGGTCAGATATATTGTAGAATGTTCTATGAAGCTTTTCTGATGTCTCCTTATGTATACATCTGAATGTGTGTGTACTTCTGGGTGCATGTTTGAGGTGTCTGTGCATGTATGTTTCAGCGTGTCCGGATTGATGTATGACTTTATGCATCTTTGTGGAGCATGTGTGTGTGCATGAGTAAGTATCCATGTGTGTTTATGTGTGTGAGTGCATGATGGGGTGTGCACGTGTCTGTTGCCGGTATGGCTGAATGCACGCCGGCCTCTGCATCTGTCTGTGGGTAACATGAGTGCCTGCTTTGGGATATGTCTGATAGGGGATATTTACATGTGTGTCTCTGGGTCCAGTCTGATGTGTGACTGTGTGTGCGCATCTGTGCTTGTAGGACTCATGACCGTGCCTGAGCATATGGATTTGTGTGTGTGTGTATTCTGGTGTATGTAAGCATGCGAGCCACGCTGCACACATGGGAACGTCAGCTCTGCTTGTGCTTCTCTGTGTTTGGATTCCAAGAGCCCTGGCCCAGCTCCACTTCCTTCTTAAAAAACAAACAGTTCCCTTATTTTTCAGGATATTACTTCCTTCAGTTTTTAAGGATCGTATTAGATAGAAAAAGCCTCCATAGGACAGGTGTGTGTCCTGAGATCATTCTGAGGTAGGTTACTCCCATTGGATCAGCTTCTCAGGAAATTCTCTTTCCCACGGTATTATCCCCAGGCTCCTAATTAAGCCTTCTAATAGAGGCATTTGACCAGTGTTCACAGAACCCACTGCTTCATGCCAGCCTATGCTGGGTGATGCTCAGGGCACAGGGTGGCCAAGACAGCCCTGGGACCTGCCTTCATGGAGCTTTTTCTCCAGAGGGGGAGACAGATCAGTCGCCAGACAATGACAGCCCAGAATGGATAGTGCTGGGAGGAGGAGGAACGGCTAGAGGGGTCAAGGCCATGATAGTGGGACTCAGGCAGAGGGGTCAAGATCAGGATGGGGGGACATGGGCAGAGGGGTCAAGGTCAAGATGGAGACACAGGGAGAGGGGTCAGCGCTGGGATGAAGGAGGCAGAGGTGTCTGTCCGAGTCCAGAAATAGCACTTGATTCAACTTTGTAGGTTCTGGGTTAGCCACTAGAGGCCTCAGTAGGGACTCTTCAATGGGAGGGTAGGGAGAGTGGGGAGGGAGAGTTGCTGGCAGAGTCAGTTTGTATAAAGGTCCAGAGGCCTGTGGAGTGTGGATGAGAGCTGTTAAGAGCACAGAGATCTGGGGCCATGTTTACTGATGAGTCTGGAGCCATGAGCAGGAGTTGGATCTGGGGATGGGGTGCGGGGGTGGGGAGTTTGGACTCTGTCCTAAGCTCCAGGGGTTCAACAGAAGGCTTTTAAGCAGAGGAACAAAATGGTCAGATTTGTGTTTTAGAATGATTTTTCAAATTTTTGGAGATGAGACTACAGGCCAAGAAATGAGGAAGTGACTTATACAGGCAACCAGGTGAGAGAGGACAGGACTATGAGGATGGAGAGAAAGGAATGGGATGGAGAAAGATAGAGAAGGAAGAACTATTTCTTCCTTGATTCTGTGTTGGCTGTACTGGGATGAGGCTGAGGGAAGAGTCTAGTGTGGGAGAGAGATGGTAGTGTTATTTGTTGGTTTGGAGAGACAGGTCAAGAACAGGTCTGAGGCAAGAGAAAAACGAGCTCAACTTTGGAATGTTGAACCATGGCATAGTCCCTGTGCTTAGGGATTTCTTAGACTAGTGGGAGAGCAGACCTGGATAAATTAAAGGCCTCAATGATGCCATTAGAATTAGTTAGTAATTTTTAGTAATAAATTGCCACTTAGGGTTGAGGATTGGGAAGGCTTGGTAGAGGAGGTGTCATGTCATTTAAACTGGGTCTTGTGGGATGAGTTCACAGTAAGGGAAGAGAGTGGGGTGGTCCAAGCGAGAGCGCGGTGGTCCAAGCTAGGTCTGGGACGTGTGAGACAGATGGAGCACAAGAGATGTATTTCACAGCAACACCCCTCTTGCTTTTTCTCCCAATCGTATCCATCAACTTTCCATCCTCTACCTGCTAGCCTGACCCAAAACTCTTAGGAAAAACCTGGCTCATGCCCGCAAGGAAGTCTTTTTTCAAATTTGAAGTGAAATGTGCAGAACTCTTTATTTTTTTTTAACCATACATTTTATTTTATTTTATTTTTTTTCCATTAATTTTTATTAGTTGGAGGCTAATTACTTTACAACATTGCAGTGGTTTTTGTCATACATTGAAATGAATTAGCCATGGATTTACATGTATTCCCCATCCCGGTCCCCCCTCCCACCTCCCTCTCCACCCCATCCCTCTGGGTCTTCCCAGT